AACACAGACACACGCACGCACGCACGCACGCACACACACACGCACACACACACACACACACACACACACACACACACACACACACACACACACACACACACACATACCTTACCATGTGAGAAAAATATTCAGTATTCCAGATTCACAACACTAGAGTATCTCTGTCCTCTTTTCTGGTAGATTACGTCGTGTAGAATATCAAACAAAAATGAGTTTCCTCAAGTTTACCTCGGCAATTCAACATCCAAGAAATACACAGTCAACGAAAATGTCACGAAACTGAATGACAACTGTCAAATACACAGTCGCACTCTTGATCACGAAGACACGCAGAAATGAAAAGCTGAGGAAGGTTGCAAACATGCGAAAGGTATACACTACAGCTCTTCAGTACTTGGAATGCTGAAGAATCGTGCAAAATCCACACACACACACACACACACACACGCACACACACACACACACGCACACACGCACGCACGACGCACACACACACACACACACACACACACACACACGCACACACACACACACACACACACACACACACACACCCGTAAAAAAGGAACATATCATCCGCAGAGAGCCGAGGGAATGCGTCATAAAGTTAGATCAAAGATAAGCTGTATTTGCGAAAACTCAAATCTCACTAGATGAAATACTCAAGAACTAACCAATACGCCAGAAGTTCACTGAAGAAGGCAAAGACACCTGTGGTGTCTGTCTACGCCACCAGATCATGCCTCAGTAGAATCAATTATCGAAAGTCTCCCAGTGCTGCTCTTTCCCTTCTTCTGTGCTGTTTACGTGTGGAAAATATCTTACAAAAGCTGTGGTCTCCAACGTCACGCTGTTTTATCTGATGTCATGGACCTTCCAGCGTTAGTTCGCCCTCGAAAACAACACATCTGTCTTGTTTTATGTCTAGTAGAGCTTTGAACCTAGATAGCTAGAAAACAAATGGAATTATCCTTTAGGCTGGACTCTGTTACCCTCTTAGCTGCTTTTTCGCTCATGGCCAAGCACAGAGACTGCTAGAAGTCTAATTATTAAAAAGTTCTTATTTAAAATTTAAAATCGAAAGGGATTCAAATAATTATTTTTTTTTCTTGTTCACAAATATTATATCCGTGCAGCCCTATGTCCTATCGATGCATATGCTCTTCCTTTCTAAAGTCCTGTTTTGTACCAGAACGACATCTAAATATTCAAAAACTAAGTCATCCATGCTGGAAGCAAAAAACCCCACCAACAACAACAAAACATACTAAACAAAAAACAAGAAAAACCCCCCCAAAGCCAAACAAAATCAAGGCTTATGAAGAAGACTCCTGCTGCCTACGTCACGGACGATGAGTTGTCGCACCTGCTAGAATCAATACCTCAACCAGTATCATGCGAGAACCGTGATGTCATGAGGCAAACGGTCAGCCTAAGTCACGTATCTCTCTCTCTCTCTCTCTCTCTCTCTCTCTCTCTCTCTCTCTCTCTCTCTCTCTCTCTCTCTCTCTCTGTGTGTGTGTGTCTGTGTGTGTCTCTCTCCCTGTCTCTCCCTGTCTCTGTCTCTCTCTCTGTCTGTCTCTCTCTAGTCTCTCTCTCTCTCTCTCTCTCTCTCTCTCTCTCTCTCTCTCTCTCTCTCTCTCTCTCTCTAGTCTCTCCCTCTCTGTCTCTCTCTGTGTATGCATGTGTGATGTGTGTGTGGGTTTATACACCGACCAGTTATTTCAGGCCTTACTCATTTTTTTCGGTTTTGTTTTGTTTTGGTAAGTGTTCTATGGTGCTCACAACTACATACGGTTCTATGAGCGCACAGGACACAAGAAACATTTTCAGTCTGGTAGGAATTAATTTTGAATTTTGCCAGGGTGACGGCTGAAGCCTATTCTTACCGATTTTTGGACCACCAACGTGTAGAACTTGCACATGGGACCTCCGAGATTTCTCGTCCGTATTCGAGAGGGCTAAATGTTAGATCTTACCTACCATAAGATCAGGGGTGTGGCTGAAAGACAGCAGTAAGAAGGAGCCAAGGAGTAGCAGTAGAAAGGCTGCAGAAAAAGTCAGAAGTCCAGAAGGGGCAATGGAGGTGAGATGGGGGGGGGGGGGGGCAGAAAGGGGAGACGAGAGCAAACGTCCGAACATTGATAGAGAGCAGGAAAGGAAGTAAGAGGAGACAATTTTAGAGCGGAAAATTTTCCGTCGCTTTCAGGTTTTGAACCAGGGATCTACTGAATAAGAGGCGATCACCCTACTTCTAGACCACGAGAGCCCCCCCGGATTTACTGTTGAGTACCCTCATTTCATGACTTATCTAGGACTTAAAATCAAGTCTGATATTGACCATGTCTACAACCATTTGAAATGATCTCCCAATCATCTAGCAGCCCGTCTATATCACCAAAAACACCTCTGTGCACACAAACAGATAGCTTATTACTTTAATGTCTATATCAGCATTATGTTACCAATACCGGGCTCGGACATATCGTAACTTTCATGAAAGCAAAACCACTACAAATTAGTATTACGGGCATACGAAGAATAGAGGCTTTTGGTTTTAATTAGGAACATAGCTGCTCTATGTCAGTGTGTGTGGAACTCTCCGGTTTGGTAGAGGCAAGCTTCGCTCGCTGGCCTTTCCCAGTCAAAGACCTGGAAAGCGTGAATCTTGTACACACACACACACACACACACA